CGGCTGTTCAAATCTTGACGAGCTTCCGATTGAGATGTCGAAGATGGAGTCTCTGAAAGTGTTTCAAGCAGATAGAGTTTCGATACATCGATTACTCACCATCACTGAGGTCATCTTACGGCCAAGGATGACTCCAGAAGTTTGCTGGGCTTCATATTTGCTACGCAATTTAGTAGACTTAAGTCGCTTGTAAGGCTAGAGGTCGCACTTGGTGCGATGGCAAGTCCCTTCGTCCATGAACGGTAGGTATCGGGTTCGAGACTTGAGAGCAGCCTCTTCATAAATGGGGGTAAGGCTAGCCGACATTCACCTTTCCCAGACCCTGCGTAAAGCGGGAGCCTTGTGCACTGGGTACGACCTTTAAGTCGCTTGTAAGGCTACCACGAGTAGCAGAAACACTGATGTTGTCAAGTTGACCATCATTGGAAAAAGTATCATTTCAATCAGTACACCTACCTGACACAATTCGTATCGGTGGCAACTGGAATCTAGTTGAGGTTGGATACCGCTACAAGTTAGAACTCCTTGAAAATGTTGATGCAGAAATGATCAACCTTTTGGGCTTGAGCAACTCCAAATATTCCACAGAAACCATTCAGATGGCTACCATATATGCAGCCAACAGTCCAGGCCGCGAGATGACAAGTCCCTGCCCAATCCTGGTCTCTCTCTCTCTCTCTCTCTCTCTCTCTCTCTCTCATCATATCCTATGCAAGAAGATTGCAAGATTTGACTAACAACATTTTATCTTCCAGGTAATAACGTTCCAAGGTAGTTCAGCCATAAAACTGCATGATCCTCAATAACTTTTACTGTCCCTTTACTTCCCTATCTCATGGTCCGAGGCTTGAATATCTGTCAATTTTAGAGTATTTCCATATCCCATAATCACTGAAGTCACTAAGGGCTGGTTTGATATTGCTGTGCTTTGAAAAAAAACTGTTTCTGTTGTGCTGTGAAATAAAGCAGCAGAGTGTTTAGTAAGTTTTTTTTGTAAAAGTGCTTTTGGAAGAAAAAGCAGTATGATATTGTTTAGTAAACTTTTATGTAAAACAGTTGTGACCCTCGTCTTGAAAAAAAAAAGCTAGTTTTGAGAAGCTGCATTTTGCTGCGTCAGCTTTTTGCCACTTTTCAGCTTAAAATGACAATAACTTTGAAAATAAGCTGAGTTACCAAACACAAATTTTACTCCAACTTTTTTTCTTCCCAGCTTTTTTTAAAATCACCTCAACCTCAAACTGTGACTAATAAGAGCAAGGGTATGAAGTGGATTTGTGGCCCAACATTCATGGGGGTTCCAAGTGACGGACAAGACATGACATGGTTAAGCCATTGGAAGTTTGCGAATGAATTGGAATGTGGCAATGAGGTGACTATACTACCTGCAAAGGTAATCTTAGTTAATTATTTAAAACAAAGTTTGATAAAATGTTGATTTTGTGATTTAAAATAATAAAAACGAAATTAATAGAAAATAACTAAATAAAGTGACAAAATAAAATAAACTAAAAGAAAACGGTTTTTGAAAATTAAATTGTAAAAGTTAGGGTTCCGCTGTTATCTTAACAATTCTATGTAGTTCTTTCAATTACTTATGAATTACACATGCAAATTTTGAAGGTTAGGTTTTCCTAATATATGCCTACTTGGACCCCAACATAGAACGTATATCAAACATGCAACTCGTCTGTGGTATTCAGATCAAATCTAAACATGCATGACTCATTAAGCTTTGTGAAACCTTTTGAAAAATCATACGACCACTAAGACGTGGTATTCATCGTAAGTGAATTTGCACATATTAACCACAAGAAGCCTTCGTCAATTTTAAGGACTGACCTCTGACCAAAACTGCATCAAATTACTTTTCTAAAGAACCTAATGGTAGCTAAGGATTAAGACAATTAGATAGTTTAAACCAGTGATTAATAATTCAAAACCTGCATGCGTAATATTATAAGCAAATTGAAAAGAAACTACATATTCTTGCTAAGGCTCGTGGCCTCACCCTAGCAAAAGCGTAATATTATAAGCAAATTGAAAAGAAACTACATATTCTTGCTAAAGCTCGTGACCTCACCCTAGCAAACGGAAATTAGTTTCTAACAATCATAAACAAAATATTATAAAAACAAGGATATAAAATACCTTGAAAATAAACTTGAATTGTCAAAAGCTCCAAAGTAATGCGTTCTTCTCCTCCTCCTTCCTCTTTCTCTCCCTAAAAAACCCTAATGGCTAAAAAATCTTATTTATACTACTAGAAAATAAAACCCTACCTAGAAAATGTCTTAGAATAAAACTAGGAAACCAAATAAATTAAAATAAATTAAGAAACATAATCCTAATGAAATATGAGAAATCTGCCCAGCCACAATTCAGCCACGTTTCTGGATTTCCAGGGCTCCAAAACAGGCCCAAAGTGGCTAGAATTAAAACTTAAGATGTCCTGAACATAATTGCAGAAGGTCTCAAACCCAAAAGACATCATCTTGGACGCTAAAAAACCCAAATAAGCCCAAAACGTCACTTTGACAGCATTGCGCGCTGCTCCTTTATTTCATTGCCATAAATAAACCGTTTGGTAGAAAATTATGAAACTTTGATAAAAACACGCCAAGAGACTCACGAACATCTTCCAGTTGGAATCACTTCAAAATTCGTCCGTTTCATCTTGTTTTGCTCCAGAGAAAGTTGAATGTCCTAAATTAAGAATATAAAATATATAGTATAAAATCAACTCATCACTTGTCAAAAATGAAAACAACGGCAATGCTTATAAATTAGCATCAAATGTTTATTTTGTTGATTGGATAGACGTTTGATACCCCATTAACCACTTTCAGCTAAATCAAAATTAATTATCTGGCGATTTTTGCTTGTTATACAAACAAAGAAGGGCAACAGGGTGACTGCACGCTTGCAGCACGGAGGAGCAGCGGTGACAATGACAGTGGTGGCAGAGGTCGATCGGAAGGTGCTCAATCTCATCAGGGCCACTGTGTTCTTACTCTCACTCTAATCGTCCGCTCTTCTCTCCTTCAGCAAAAGAAGCGTCATGCAACAAGATCTCCACTATTTCATTAGATTGATCTGATGCAGTCCTCTTTGTGTTCTCCTCTCATTTCAAATTATATCTGAATAAGTACTGATTTGCTCCTTGGTGTGAGAGTTTTCTTAGTTCACTAATTAATACAACTCATCACACTATATTACATGTTATTATTACTTTGTGCTGGACTTGAACTGATTTTATACCCATACACTGACTTTGTCCTTTGTATTTTCCTGCTTACTTTTTGCTTTATTTAATTTTTGGATTTACAGATAACTATCCAACATTTTGGGCGATTCTAAATTAGTCTCGACTTTTTAAAATATTCAAAAAATATCTAATATTTTGAAAATTAGACATTTGTTAGGTCACCTTCATTAAGTCAGGACTTTACCAACATTAAGTGTTGAGTCTAATGACCTTACTAGCATTAAATGATGAGTGGTCAAACACTAAAATTGGTTTTCATTGATTGTTGTCTTTGGATCTCTAATCTCCAAAATGGGTTCCTTTTAGCCAAATTAAATCGTAAATTTGCTTAAGCTAATACAAGTTGATTTGAAGATTCAAAGCTCCATAAATGATTTGAGAGTTAAAACACGTCTTAATATTTGTCTATGTCATCACTTATCACTACTGATGTGCTTTTGGCTCACCAAAAGTGTTGGAATGGATTTTGGAGTCAGGAAGAAGAGGCATTATCTAGCATCAAACCCTCGAGTGAGCCAGACTGCCAGATGACACTCGAGTGAGCCAGCGTGCAGCAAAAGCTCGCTGTGGCACTTCCCGTTAGACTTCACAAATTAGCTCGAGCTCACAATAGATTTTCTCCACTTTCCTTTTCTTGTTTTGTCCAATGACTAGTTTCCAACTTAATTTAACCCGAATCGTATCCTCCCTCCTATCTGGAAGATTAACAATTAATTACGGTTTCAACAAGGGGCCAAGGGATGGCATTAATTTGTAACCGAAATTGCTTATTATCCAAGAGGATCCTCCATCCTCTTTGTGAGGATCCTGGGGATCCTCAAATCACATCCGTTTATTATACATCATGTGGTAAAAAATTATTGTAAAATTTTTATTTAAAATTTAATATAAATAGTACCTAACAAAAACTAACCGTACGATGTACAATAAACGAATGTGATTGAAGGATCATCCGGATCCTCACAAAGCGAATCCGGTGAGAATCCTCTCTCGCTTATTATCTATATAGTGAACTTTAATAACCAAATGTTTGTAGAACCGCCAATTATGCGGCCCATATATTAGCTAACTTGGCCCTAATTTCTAGTTTCACAAATAATTGGTTTGATGAGGCTCCGGATATTACCAAAGATGTCCTAATGAAAGATTGTAACCATTCTCTTAATTCTCATCACCAAGAAAAGAGCGTACATGAATCATGATTCCCTAATTTCCAATAGAGAAATTTTATTCAAACTCATGTAACTTATCTCTATACTCATATAACTTATTTCTATACCCAACTTATTTTCTACAACCGTATTATTTTTTACTACACTATCAATATCTCTTTAAATCCAAATTTGTTACCTAATCTACCCTCACAAATTAACCTAATTCAACATATAAATTGATATTTACACCCATTCAAAAAAAAAGAAAAAAACTCACGTTAATTCATTAAACTTCTAAATTTAGTGGGCGAAATATTTTCTTATGCAGTAACGTACGTGGGAAGGAGTTCTCATGCACTGAGTGATATTATCAATCAAAATAGCCTTGTAGATTATTTGTCTCAGTGCAGTAGATCCCAAGACCATTTCGTAGAGTTCAACAACTTCAACACCTTTATTTTGAAATGATGGTTCAACCTGTATTAGTAACAAAATGTTTGGTTCTGTTGAAACCTCTAAATTTGTGTCTCCAATAATAAAGGAGCCAAGGGAAATAGGAACTTTACTTGTAGAATACCGGCTAGAGGTGCATGATGAAATGATTAAGTGAATGTTGTTCTTGCAAAGGCGAATGATATCTGGCCACTTGTGTACAATCAGCAAGTCCGGTCCTGAGTTTTTTGGTGCCCAGTGCGAAAGCTCAAAATGTGCTCTTTTTTAATACAGAAACATATGTTTAAAAAAAATATTTCACAAGGATAATCACATCTATGTGTAAAAAAATTCATCACTAATCACATGCAAAATGGCTTCCAATTTCTATCTTGTATGTGTAAAATTTTATTCACATCAACCAAATTATGGTTCAAAACAAATGGATAATCACATATACAAACCTGCAAATGGCTTTTGAACTTCATCATTAGTAAGCCCATCAAACTTCATTAACTCTCTAATTTGATTTGGTGTAGCATCTGCAAGAAAAAAAAACAATCACATAACGCATTAAACACACATCCAATACATCCCAATCCAATCAAATATTCATCCAATCATATAAAATAGAGGTATTTATCAATTTACCCCTGAACTTGTAAGGATTGGCTAACACAAAGCAAAGAGTGGCCAACACAAATCTCCCTGTGCAACATTTCCAGAAAATGCTTTTGAAATCTTCATTGGTATCCATCTACAAATCCACAGAGACAAGTAATTAATGTTTCATATCAATCACATTGATAAACAAACTAAACAACCTCCTCAAAATTTTAACCCAAAAAATGTACCAAATTTGATATTTAATAAAATAATCAAAGCAACTAAACAAAAACCAAAATTGAACGTAATAAAAATAAATTGACCCATAAAAAATCTCTAAGATTAACAGCAGTCACCTGTACAAGAATTGAGCAAAAAAATTTAACATCTCAACCGCATCCAATTCAAAGAAAATATATCTTACACACATTTAACTATGGAACCAATGTTTTCTCTATTTAAGAAAGTACAGAATTTGTTTTGAGAAAGCATCTCAATAACTACTCAAAGTTCATTTATTCAACAACCACTCAAAGTTCATTTATTCAACAACCACTCAAAGTTCATTTGTTTTGAGAAATTTTATTCGAACTCATATAACTTATCTCTATACTCATATAACTTATCTCTATACCCAACTTATTTTCTACAACCATATTATTTTTTACTACACTATCAATATCTCTTTATATCCAAATTTGTTACCTAATCTACCCTCACAAATTAACCTAATTCAACATATAAATTGATATTTACACCCATTCAAAAAAAAAAACTCACGTAAATTCATTAACTTTTAAATTTAGTGGGTGAAATATTTTCTTATGCAATAATGCACGTGGGAAGGATTTCTCATGCACTGAGTGATATTATCAATCAAAATAGCCTTTTGGATTATTTGTCTTGACCATTTCGTAGAGTTCAACAACTTCAACACCTTTATTTTGAAAACGATGGTTCAACCTGTACTAGTAACAAAATGTTTGGTTCTGTTGAAACCTCCGAAATTGTGTCTCCAATAATAAAGGAGCCAAGGGAAATAGGAACTTCACTTGTAAAATACCAACTAGAGGTGCATGATGAAATGATTAAGTGAATGTTGTTCTTGCAAAGGCGAATGATATCTGGCCACTTGTGTACAATCAGGAGGTAACACATTATTTTCTATGTTGGTTTAAGATCATTCCGCCAAAGGAATGTATAATATAGAGTAAACTGTCAGTTTACCCCCTAAACTTTCACCTCACTTTCGATTTCCCCCCTGAACTTTTCTATTGGAAAATTAAGGACTCAAACTAATTTTTTTAGCCAATTTGCCCCCTACCGTTAGTTTTTCATATATTCCATCCATATTTCCGTTAAGTGAGACCATGTACACAACATGTGAGGGTAGTTAAATTATTTCACTTTTAAAAATGATTAAAAAACTGAAAAAATAAAACAAAACTTTCCCTCTATTTTTTCCCGCTAATTCCTATCCTCGATTTTATTTTTCCCTCTCATTCATATGCATGAGAAATGACATATGGTGTTATTGTCTACCATTTTTATTTTCTCTAACAAATTAATAATTTGACAAATGCTAATGGTGCTATTGTCTCCAAAGCAGTGCATTAATATAAGAAACCCTAGTCTTTTTTATGGACATGTTTCTTATATTAATGTACTGCTTTGGAGACAATAGCACCATGAGCATTTGTCAAATTATTAATTTGTTAGAGAAAATAAAAATGGTAGTACATGCTTCAAGAAAAAGATTAACTTAGCTACTTATGAATACAATAACACCATATGTTATTTCTCATGCATAGGAATGAGAGGGAAAAATAAAATTGAGGATAGGAATTAGCGGGAAAAAATAGAGGGAAAGTTTTGTTTTTTTTTTTTTCAGTTTTTTAATCATTTTTAAGAGTGAAATAATTTAACTACCCTCACATGTTGTGCACATGGTCTCACTTAACGGAAATATGAATGGAATATATGAAAAACTAACGGTAGGGGGCAAATTGGCTAAAAAAATTAGTTTGAGTCCTTAATTTTCCAATAGAAAAGTTCAGGGGGGAAATCGAAAGTGAGGTGAAAGTTCAGGGGGTAAACCGACAGTTTACCCTATAATATATTATTCGAATATGGTGTTAACGGAATCATCAAGCCTGCTTTGCATGTGCAGTTGGAAAACTTGATAACGGCTGATTGCTTTTGAGAGTATAAAGCTGAACCGTTATAGTGAGGCACTTAAATATCTTAAGCTGCTATAGAGGCACACCCCGCACTTTCAGAAGCATATTATCATCGGTCTTTCGTTCTTCGTCAGATATATATATATATATATATATGCATGTACTTTTTAAATAATTACCGTTCTAACAGAAGGAAAAAAAATGGTTCTGCTGAAAATTGTTTTAGCATATGTAATTTTCTATTTGAAGTTTTGAAAAATTCGAATGTTACACGCAACTGTATCAAATTTACAAAAACAAAAGAAAAAAGCTTGCATAAATCAATTTATAACTTAGTTGGAGGATTTAAAACTTCAAAAATCATCATCCATTGGTCAACAAAAGCTTGTTTTTCCTCTATGAGAGCGTCTTAGGGTTTTAGTTAGAATGAACGAAGGATAAAGATTGTATGAAGGTAGAGTTTGATTATTGAGTGTGAGTTTATTGATAAATTTTAGTTTTATGGTTAATTTCATCTAGTAATTGATGGTAATTATGCAATAGATTAAAAAAGTCAATTCACATTTAAATTTTAAGTTTGTTGTAAAGAGATGTTATATGAGTTCAAATAAAATTTCTCTTTCCAATAAACTTTTCGACAAAAAAAAAATCCAATAAACTATCATATCCAATGTAGTTACTTTGAACTTAAATTGGCAGTTAGCGTTGTTTAATTCTAAATGTTTAGGAAATGTTCCCAGAACAACCATCTTAGGAAATAATCTGTGGGTTTATGTCCTTGGCCATAGTTAGGGCTGGTTTGGTATTGCTATATTTTAAAAAAAAACTGCTTATGCTGTGCTGTGAGAATAAGCGACTGTGAAATAAAAGTTGTAGAGTGTTTGGTAAATTTTTTTTTTAAAAATGCTTTTGAAAAAAAAAGTAGTATTATAGTATTTGGTAAACTTTTATGTAAAACCGATGTGAAAAAAAAATCGGTTTTTCAAAGCTGGGTTTTGCAGCTTCTTGTTTTTGGCTTTTTTCACCAAAAATTATGAAAAAAGTTGAAGCTGAATGTTTACCAAATACAAAGCTTTTTTTATACCAACTTTTTTCAGAATCATTTCAGTATCAAACCAGACTTTAATGTGCATTGCTGGCCTTATTGTATTTTCGAGATGGGATTTTATTTTCCAACACTACGGAGTTTCTGTTCTCTCTCAAATGGACAATAATGTTTTCACTTGCACATTCGTTAAATGTAAGATTTGATTTGTAATAATCATCTCTCCATAAATTAGAGTACTTTTTTTTTTTGAAGAAACTGATTTAATTCAAAACCAGGGCCAAAGCCAAAGAGAACAGGAAGCCCACACAGAGGAGCAACAAAGGAAACAACAGACACAAAGCAGAGGAGGAGGGTACAACACCAACAGACGCTGCCCCAAGAGCTAGACGTCGCCTCCTCCACTGCAGGGAACCAAAAAGGAATGTTAAGGGGGGCAAGGAAGCCCATCTTTGTTCAAAACATGCACCAACGAAGATGGGGGAGTGTTAATCCAGGTTAGACCGCACATCTCCGTATTTCTTCTCGACGCCAAACAGTGCGCCGTCATGTTGGCCGATCTCGTAACCCAAGACCAGCGGCAACATTGGAAGGATTCCGCAATCCGACGAATCAATTAGAGTACTTTATAACATTATATTGAAAAAACCTAACCACCTTGAATTCAACGAAAATAACCGTACACTCGCTCCCCGAATCAAACATGTGGTGGAAATTTCGCTTCAGTTGTTCTGACATCTTCTGTCAAGTTTCCAAGAACGCAAGCCATGTAACAAAACTTGATCTATATTATTAATTGATGTCATATTTTCAATAAACCTTGAGGAAATTTTTTCTTGTTTTTAAATGTTTCTCTCGTACCTAATGGGAGTGCTACCAAAAAAAGTGAAAAAGAGTTTGGTGACAGAATTTTAAAAATTTGGCCACCAAATTGACTTTCTAGAAATCACTGAGTCTATTTCATATCTCGTATGTTTACATAGAGATCATCGATTATTGAAGTTTGCATATATTTTAATATTTTAGTGAATAGGATGTTGAGTTTCATCATGCATCACAGATTCGAACTCTTGCTTCTACTAAATTATTGTAAGAGTCTCAAACTCTCTCTCATCTCCTTAATAATAATAACTTTTTTTATAAAAAAAATAAAAATGTTTGCCTCTTTCATTTTACTGTGGACTTTTGAGGGACGCAGCCAACCAACAATCGTGTTGACTGCCTTAATTTGCATCAAGAGGAATGCAGAGGAGCTCCTCCTTAATTATATCTGGAAATGTTGCTCATCTGATAGTGCATATATACCTGTACTGAGTTGAAAAACAACATGGGATTATCTTAAATCATCATCACTTTGGTCAACTAAAATTTAAAAATACCATAACCGCGTTGATGACATTTGCATGCTTTACTTGAAAGAAACATTAGAAGAATTATTAATCGTTTCTTAAAAATACCATAAATTCGATACCATAGCCTTGCCATAAAAAACCGTCTCCAACTGAGGGCAAAAGGACCATAGGGTCAAACAAAATTTATTATTTAAATTTTAAAGCTACAACAACTTAAATTCAAATCTAACAACAACTTATATTTAAAAACTACAACGGTAACTGGCCCAAAAAATAAAAAAAATTAGAACTTAAATTTAATGAATGGTTTAGGTATTTATACAACAACAACAACAACAAAGCCTTTTCCCACTAAGTGGGGTCGGCAATATGAATCCTAGAACGCCATTGCGCTCGGTTTTGTGTCATGTCCTCCGTTAGATCCAAGTACTCTAAGTCTTTTCTTAGAGTCTCTTCCAAAGTTTTCCTAGGTCTTCCTCTACCCCTTCGGCCCTGAACCTCTGTCCCGTAGTCACATCTTCGAACCAGAGCGTCAGTAGGCCTTCTTTGCACATGTCCAAATCACCGGAACCGATTTTCTCTCATCTTTCCTTCAATTTCGGCTACTCCTACTTTACCTCGGATATCCTCATTCCCAATCTTATCATTTCTCGTGTGCCCACACATCCCACGAAGCATCCTCATCTCTGCTACACCCATTTTGTGTACGTGTTGATGCTTCACCGCCCAACATTCTGTGCTATACAACATCGCTGGCCTTATTGCCGTCCTATAAAATTTTCCCTTGAGCTTCAGTGGCCTACGACGGTCACACAACACGCCGGATGCACTCTTACACTTCATCCATCCAGCTTGTATTCTATGGTTGAGATCTCCATCTAATTTTCCGTTCTCTTGCAAGATAGATCCTAGGTAGCGAAAACGGTCGCTTTTTGTGATC